GTGGCCCCGGGAACAACGGGAATGGCAGCACAGGGGCAGCTCCAGCTCACTCCAGCTGTGGGGACACCCCTGGATCCCTCTGCTGCCCCCCCAGAGGCAGGGAGGACACTGAGACCAGGGACAGTGACAGCACTGCTCAGAACCTTCATTTCCGAGGTCACAGTGACATTTGTTAGAGAAAATGTTCCCATTCCATCCCTGCTCTCCCTGCTCCCTTTGCAGCCACCTCAGTTCACTCTCCAGAACACTCAGCTTCAACACTTGCATGACTCAGAAAACCACTTTTTTCCAGTAATTTTTAAATTTAAGGGTGAGTCTGAAGCAGAATCCTCATCCTTTGTGGCTTCCTCTGATGAAATCTTCATGAAATCCCAGAGAATTCTGGGTGGGGATAGAGGGAGAGAAGGGAAGAACAAGGGAAAGGACCTGAGCGGGAATTCAAATTTAAGGTTTTTATCCCTTTCATGCTATAAATCTAATTCTGGGTGTGAAACTTTGGTAATCTGGAGGTATTTGGAAGTCATGCTCAGTCCCAGACTTTGCAGCACATGCCTGGATATTCCACAGGGAGAAAATCCTGCTTTTTCCTTAATAAAGCAGTGGAAGCCCCAACAACCTCCTGCATTTCTGCTGGCCTAGATATTGAACACACACAGGAGTGAAAAACCTATTAATATTTGCAGGAAATTTAGCAAATGCCACAAATCCTTTGTGACACCTCAGCAGTCAGAACCAGCCTGTTTCACCCTTTCTCCTGGTGGAAAAAAACTCCTCACACCACTTGGCAATTTAATTTATTTTTTTTCCAGTGGAAATGTGCTCTGTGATGCTCTGCTGAGACTTCCCCTGCCTTGAACTGAGCATCTGAAAGCAAAACTCATTTAAAACACATTTTCCCCTTGCCATGGGACTGCTCCCAAAGCAGCAAATGCTGCTGTTGTCACCTGCAGCTCACAGAGCTTTGGAAAAATGGGATTTAAACAGCAAGAGCCTCACCAGGACCAACGAGTGTTACCTGGGCTTGCTGTGAATCCTCCACCTGATTTTGGCTTCAGAGGAGAAAGGGTTTCCCCTTCCAGCTTCCCTGGTTGGGGTTTTTACTGCCTGAAGTCACTGAGCAGAGAAGAAAGGGATGCCCAGTGTCCTCTGAGGCCTCTAAAAAGCCTTGAAGACCATATCAGAAGTGAAAAATAAAAGCAAAAAAATAAAAAAAAAATCAAAAGCACAACGCTCGGAAAACCTTAAAAAAAAAAACTTTTGGTTCTTTCTCAGCTGGTCTGGTCTTTCCTACAAACTGATTTCAAACTTTGAGAAAATTCTGCTCCAGAATTCAGATTTGAGGCATGGAGAGGGGCAGCACTGATTGCTAATTGTGGCTAATTGCTGCTGGGACCCTCGGTGTCATGGGCACAGAAAGATCCAGGCAGGGCTGGGGGTCTCCTGTCCCACCCACGACCCTCCAGCTCCCTGGAGCAGCGAGGCAGGGAGGGATTTACCCCAGGAGGTGCAGGGGGAAGGGGGGATTTCTCCATCAGCTCTGCCACTGCTCCTGCACGTGAAAAAAAAACCACTTTATCTTGGAAAAGGCCAAACTGAGAGTTCTCCACAGCACAGAGCACTCAGATTCCTGCCTGAGCCGTATCACAGAGGTACAAATCACTTTTATCCCAGCCTGATGTTGTTTTGTGCTTTCTGGAGGGGAGCTGTTATGTTTATTTGATAGTTTGAGCAGAGCTGGGCACCGTGGGGTCCCTGGGGTGTCATGAGAGCCTTGCTGAGGTGATTGTGAATTCAGGAGAGCAGGGCAGGCCTTGGATGCACCACAGCCTTGTTTGTGTCAAAGGAGAACCTGGGTGATAAACATTTAAACACTCAGGAGTCGTCTGAAGAACTAAAGAATCAAACAGAGCACGGAATTACTCCCCCCAAAAGAAAAGAGGGAAGTGATGGAGCTGTGAAAGGAATGAAAGAAATGTTGCTGGATTGATGTGATGGGAAGAATTCAGCACAAAGATGCTGTGGGAGGGTGGGGGTCAGGCTCTGCCCCCAAGAACAAGGGACAGGACACAAGGAATGGCCTCGAGTCTTGCCAGAGGAGTTTAGGGCTGGATATCAGGAAAATTCCTTCACCACAGGACGCTCATTTAAGAAAGAAAAGATTAAATTTGGGAAGTTTATTCCTTGCAGAGTTTCTAAAGGATCTTCCTCCCTCCCCCTCCTGCAGGCCTCAGCATCCACAACTTCCTCGTGCCAATGGTGAGCTGAAGAAATGAATTCAGTGAGGATCCACCCCCAGATGAGATCCCAAATAAATGAGGCACTCAGTCAAACTCCTCCTCCAGGGAGTTCAAAGCTCCCTCTGAATTCAGCCCCCAGCAAGTTTGTGGTGGGCCAGATCCAAGTTCCACACAAACCTCTCCCACTGGAGCCCGTTCCTTCATTTCCAAGTTCCAGATGTTTCTTTTGGCCGTTCCTGGGCTCAGCTGTGCCCTCCTGACCCTGAGTCCAGCTCCCAAAACCACTGCTCAGGCCTCACCTCCACCTGCTTATCCCTCAATCCTCCTGGAGGGAGGAATCCCCAGAATGTGGGAGAGCTTTGCAGGGGGTCTGTCACACCCGGTTTTGGGGTTGTTTTGGGTTTATTTTGCTGTTCCTGCTATTTCAAGGTAACAGAACTCGAGGGAGGTGTCCCTTCAATCCAGCCTGGATCTGGTGACCCTGAGCCTTCAACAAACCAAAACATTTCTCATGTGGGAGTAAATCCAAGCCCCATTTTCATCCTGGTGAAGTTCTGCCCACCATCTGTGGAAGCTTTTCCCTGCCTGGCTTTTGGTCTTGGAGGAGCCTCAAGGGAGCACCAAGCACAGACACTTTGGTGGGACCTCACACCAGCCTCAGCTGATCCACATTTGGACTTGGTGACCTTGGAGATCTTCCCTAACCTTAACAACCCCCTGAGTCTATGTTTCCACGTCCCTCTGAACGTTGTTCAACCAAAGGAAAGCCAGAATTGCCACCAGCACCTCCAGCTGTTGGACTTGCCACTCATCTGACCACCTGAGACTTTTGGAATGTTGGAACCCAGGGCAAAGGGAATGTTTCCCCAGGAGAACGCTGCTTTTGACCTTCATCCATGGAGAAAGCTTCCAAGACTCTGGGATGAATTGGAATCTACGAGTGTGTGAAACAGAGAGTAGGATAGTTTATCACAGGGTGAAAACCTCAGAGTTTTGGGGTTTAGTATGGAGGTGGGTAGGAGACAAAATGGAGGATTTTGGGCATTGTCTGATCTCCTTGTTCTTCATCTCCTCCATTTTCTGCTGTGTTGATGGCACAGAATAATTGGTGAGAAAGAGCCACAATGCAGATGTTGGACAGACAAATAATTAGTTATTGGTAGAAAGGTTGAAATAAAATACGTTCTAAGAGTTAATTGGACAAAGCAGCTCTAAAAGACCTTGAACCTGTGTGCCTGGGGACTTTTTTGGTGCCCTTCTCTTTGTACACCAAGTCTGGTGTGCAGACAGCATGCTGAACTTCTAATAAGAGAAAAATCAACAACCTGAAGACCAAAAACCCAAAAGTCATGTTCACCTCTCAGTCTTGGCACAGAACCTTTAAGGGATCCCCCTAAAAACCTCTTCCACGTTGGAAGGAGCCACCTCATCTCCTGTGGGCCCTGGGAGAGTGACAAAGTTTGTGCTCACCTGGTGAAGTCCAGAAAGGTTGAAATAAAATACGTTCTAAGAGTTAATTGGACAAAGCAGCTCTATCTAAAAGACCTTGAACCTGTGTGCCTGGGGACTTTTTTGGTGCCCTTCTCTTTGTACACCAAGTCTGGTGTGCAGACAGCGTGCTGAACTTTTAACGAGAGAAAAAATCAACAACCTGAAGACCAAAAAACCCAAAAGTCATGTTCGTCACTCAATCCTGGCACAGAATCTTTTAGGAATCTCCCTAAAAACCTCTTCCATGTTGAGAGGAGCCACCTCAGCTGGCTCTGGGAGAGTGACCAAGGCCGAGTTTGTGCTCACCTGGCAAAGTCCAGAAAGGTTGACATAAAATACGTTCTAAGAGTTAATTGGACAAAGCAGCTCTATGTAAAAGACCTTGAACCTGTGTGCCTAGGGACTTTTTTGGTGCCCTTCTCTTTGTACACCAAGTCTGGTGTGCAGACAGTGTGCTGAACTTTTAACGAGAGAAAAATCAACAACCTGAAAACCAAAAACCCAAAAGTCCCGTTCACCTCTCAATCCTGGCACAGGATTTTAGGGTTCTCCCTAAAAACCTCTTCCATGTTGGGAGGAGCCACCTCAGCTGGCTCTGGGAGATGACCAAGGCCGAGTTTGTGCTCACTTGGTGAAGTCCAGAAAGGTTGAAATAAAATACATTCTAAGAGTTAATTGGACAAAGCAGCTCTAAAAGACCTTGAACCTGTGTGCCTGGGGACTTTTTTGGTGCCCTTCTCTTTGTACACCAAGTCTGGTGTGCAGACAGCGTGCTGAACTTCTAATAAGAGAAAAATCAACAACCTGAAGACCAAAAACCCAAAAGCCCCATTCACCTCTCAGTCTTGGCACAGAACCTTTAAGGGATCCCCCTAAAAACCTCTTCCACGCTGGAAGGAGCCACCTCATCTCCTGTGGGCCCTGGGAGAGTGACAAAGTTTGTGCTCACCTGGTGAAGTCCAGAAAGGTTGACATAAAATACCTTCTAAGAGGTAATTGGACAAAGCAGCTCTGAAAGACCTTGAACCTGTGTGCCTGGGGATTTTTTTGGTGCCCTTCTCTTTGTACACCAAGTCTGGTGTGCAGACAGCGTGCTGAACTTTTAACGAGAGAAAAAATCAACAACCTGAAGACCAAAAAACCAAAAAGCCCCGTTCACCACTCAATCCTGGCGCAGAACCTTTTAGGAATCTCCCTAAAAACCTCTTCCACGTTGGAGGGAGCCACCTCAGCTGGCTCTGGGAGAGTGACCAAGGCCGAGTTTGTGCTCACTTGGTGAAGTCCAGGTCGGCCTCCCGGGACATGGTGATGTTGGTGAGGTTCTGCTGCAGGATGAAGATGTTCCTGCACATCTTCTTGATGCCGGACTCGCTGATGCGCCTGAAGTAGTGCGCGCCGTTGATCAGGATGCAGGAGATGAGGTGGCCCAAGCCTGCAAGGGGAGGAAGGGATTTAGTGCCAGCAATTTGTGGTAAAACCCCCAAAATGAGCGTTGGTAAGTGGTGCCTGTGAGCTGGATCACGGGATGGTTGGATTTTACGTGGAAATGCTTGGAAATCTTTGTGGTGCAGTTTAGGACTATCCGCCTCTTTAGTAAAAACACAAAACTGCCCCAGAACTTACAGCTGTGTTATCACAACCACTGATTTTTAACCAGGTTAAAATGGTTAATAATGTGCATAATTAACCTTCCAGTTAATTTGCATAATGTGCTTTCCAGTCCCTCTCCCTGTGGGGCAGAGCAATGGGTCACTGCAGCTCCTGTAGGCCCACAGGACTTTCATCTGTTCCCCAGGGTGGTGTTTTCCCTGTTTTCCCTGGTAAGTTCAGTCTCCAGGGGCAGGAATGAGCTGCATTCCAACGCCCCTGAGGCACAACCCCTCTCTGAACAGTTTCCTGTGTCTGGAGGGTGTCAGAAGGGCACAGCTGGGGGCTAAGGGACACCCCCAAAATGATGCATTCACTCGTGTCACATTACAAAGAGCAAAAACCCAGCCTGATTTGCACCGAACAGGTGCCCAGAGGCCAATTAAAAGTCTAAATTAAAGGATTTTGCTCATGTACAGGGAGCCAGTGTGGGAAATCTGTAAATCTGTAGAGGGTTAAGAGGTGTGACTAAGGAGGACCATGAGTATGAATTTAAACTTCAACAGGATGTGAATGGCCCCCGTGGCTCTGTGTGGAGTCATTTCCCACTTCTTGAACAAACAGGGAATCACAGAATCCCAGGATGGTTTGGGTGGGAAAGGACCTTAAAGCCCATCATGTCCAACCCCAGCCATGGCAGGGACACCTCCCACTGTCCCAGGCTGCTCCAACCCTTCCTTGGGCACTGCAGGGATCAGGGGCAGCCCCAGCTGCTCTGGCAATTCCAGCCCAGCCAGCAATTCCTCATGGCCAAGATCCCATCCATGGCTGCCCTCTGGCACTGGCAGCCATTCCCTGGCTCCTGTCCCTTGTCCCCAGTCCCTCTGCAGCTCTCCTGGAGCCCCTGCAGGCCCTGGAATGTGCTGGAAGCTCTCCCTGGAGCCTTCTCCTCTCCAGTTAACATTCCCAGTTCTCCCACATGGTTCTCACCCAATTCCCTGTGGGTGACAGCAGCACCTCGCTCTGCTTCACCCCCGAAAGAAATCCCGTGGAGATTTGGGATGGGAATGGAAAACCCTTTATGGGGGAAGAGCCTGACCTTCAAAGATGTACTGGAACTTGTGCTGCTGCAGGCTGGCGCTCATGGCCTCCTCGATGGCGCTGATGTCCTTGTTGAGCCGCACCACCAGCGGGTCGTAGTCCATGCTCTCCACGTTGGCCACGATGGCGTAGTTCCCTTGTTTGGCCAGAGGGATCAGGTAGTGGAAACAGTGAACCCTGTGAGGGACAAGAGTGCAACAACCCCCGTCTTAAAGTATTCCTGGGATGCAAAGTGGTTTTTCCCTTCCTCAAGCTGGTAAAAAAGAATTTCATGGGATGGGTGGCGATGTCTGTGTTGAAGGCATCCTCCTCTTGTTGTTGCTCCATCTTCAGGGACGGATCCAACAGATCCTTGGTGACGAGGACCTGTCCTTCAGATCCTGAGCTGACCTCCATCACCCCACTGAATTATCCCAAGATTCCCAACCTCCCATACAATACCAGTCCTCCAAGGAGAACTCCTTCCATGAAAAACTCATAACTGGCAGGACCAGAGAGCCAGGGGTCATGGAATGGTCATTAAAATTCCATGATTGTGCTCATTCTCAAACATTTCACACTACTGCAACCCCTTCCTGTTCACCAACGTGCCCAACCATCATCCCTCCATGGAAGGGAGAAATTCCAGCATGGGAAGTTAAATCCCAATTTGCCGCCCTCCATGGAAAGAGAAATTCCATGCAGTTGAATCCCAACGTGCCCAACCGTCATCCCTTCATGGAAGGAGAAATTACATGCACTTAAATCCCAACTTGCGCCCCTCCATGGAAAGAGAAATTCCTTGCAGTTGAATCCCAACATGCCCAACCATCATCCCTCCATGGAAGGAGAAACTCCACACAGTTAAATCCCAGCGTGCCCAACCATCATCCCTCCATGGAAAAAGACATTCCATGCACTGGAATCGCAATGTGCCCAACCATCATCCCTCCATGGAAGGAGAAATTCCATGCAGTTGAATCCCAACTTTCCCCCTCCATGGAAGGAGAAATTCCATGCAGGTAAATCCCAACGTGCCCAACCATCATCCCTCCATGGAAGGAGAAATTCCATGCAGTTGAATCCCAACTTTCCCCCTCCATGGAAAGAGAAATTCCATGCACTGGAATCCCAACTTGCCCCTCTCCATGGAAAGAGAAATTCCATGCAGTTGAATCCTCTCTTAGGACTCCGCAAAAAGCTGTAATTAATTTGTTTCTCTCTCAGCCAGAGGGGAAAGTTCTGTGTCCAGAAAAATCCACAGCAGAGCTCCTTCCGCTTTTGTGGTCACCCAGTGGGAACAGGGTTGGGCTCCACTTCCACCAGGAGAGGTTTAGGTTGGATTTTAGGGAAAATTCCTTCATGGAAAAGGCCATCCAGCCCTGCCCAGGGCAGGAGTGGAGTCCCCATCCCTGGAGGGATTTAAAGCCATGTGGAGGTGGCACTAGGGGACAGGGTCAGTGGTGGCCTTGGCAGGGCTGGGAATGGTTGGACCTCATGATCTTAAAGGTCTTTTCCAACCTAAATGATTCCATGATTCTGGAATTCACCTGCCAGGGGAACAAATCAAAGCCTGAGGGAGAATCCCTGGAATTTGGGGCATAACTCAGGGTCAGCACACGGGGGCAGGAAGTTCCCACCAGAGTGGCCCAAAGCTGTGGCAGAGATGTCCTGGCTTCCATATTCCCTGGAAAACACCTTGAGGTGGACAAGCAAGTCCAGTTTAGGGCAATCCTTGGAGTAAAAGCATCTTATCTATAATTTTATATATTGTTTTAAAATATTAAAATCCTGTAACAGACATTAAGAAGTCTAAAATTTCATGGTTACTCCATCAAAAGCTGCTTCCATTTCCAGGCTGGACAGGGCTTGGAGCAACCTGGGATAGGGGAAGGTGTCCCTGCCCATGGCACTGGATGATCTTTAAGGTCCTTTCCCACCCAAACCTTGCCAGGATTGGAGGATGTGATTCCATGGCTTGGGGAATGATCTGGGTGTGCCAAATGTTTCCTTTAAGGAAGCACACCCAAATCCAAGGAGCAGGATCTCAGTGACCTCAGGGTCACGTCCAAGGACATTGGAGGAGGAGGAGACAACACCAACCTGCATCTGGAATGAAGGGGGGCTCTGAGGCAGGAGAAAGCCATGGGATAATTGTGTGGAATTCCCCAATTCCTGGGGAATTCAAGGAGACAATTCCCACATTCCTGGCTGTTTTGGTGTCTCCTCAAGTTGCACCTGCAGAAGGCAACACCGACCTGCATCTGGAATGAAGGGGGGCTCTGAGGCAGGAGAAAATCAGGGGATAATTGTGTGGAATTCCTCAATTCCTGGAGAATTCAAGGAGACAATTCCCAACTTCCTGGCTGTTTTGGTGTCTCCTCGGGCAGCCAGACTTGGGATAAATCCCCAGGCTCTTCCCAAATGTGCTCTGAGTGTCTCTCAAACCACAGGGGATGGATTCCCACCGTGCTGAGCACCTTGGACATGGCACAGATCCAGGGAATGGGGGTGGGATCAGAGAATCCTGCTGGGAACAGGCACCAGAGGCACTGCAGGTGGTTGGAAATGCAGAGTGAGGGATCCAGGGAAGCTCCCACCCCGCTGGGGTTTCCCTCATGTCAGCACTTTTCCATCCTTTGGATATGGTTTGGTGAATCCCCAGCTCCAAACTCGGCTCCTGTTGGAAGCACTGCAGCTGCTCTGCTCTAAATTACAGCAGAATTTATCCCTGAAGTCCATTTTAGGGATTTTTGCTTAACCCAAGTGCGACAAAAAGCCACAGAGGCCAGAAACCCACCCCAAGAGTCCGGGTTCCTTCAGCCCAGCTGGAAAACTGCTCCACTTCCATACTTCCACCTCCTTTTCCTCAAATCCCTCCAAGCCCAGCAGGTGATGGATGGCAGGATGAAGGAGTGCTGACAAGAATTAATGTGGATTTTTTTGCCAGAGCTCCACGCTGACTCCAGCAGAGCACAGGGGGACACGACGTGGCTTGGGATGTGTCACCCAGGCACAAACTGACGATCCATCAAATCTCTGACATCCCCCTTCTTTTTGATGCCTCAGAGCAAAGGGAAGCAGTGAAAATACACCTGGCCTGAACAGTTCCCCAGGGAAAAACACCTTCCCAGCCCTGGATTGGGCAGCTGGCAGCCTGAAAAAAGGGATTTGCTGCCTTTGATCTTTGCAGAGACTTCATGAAATAACTCAGCCCTTAAAAAAAAATCCAGCTGGTTCCCCAGTTCCTGTTACTGTTTGAAGAAGTAGGAGGAGAAGCTCCTATTTGCAATCCTGAAAAACCCAAACCTGTGGAGACACCTGTTAGACTGTGAAAACACCATTGTGTTGTTTTGGAAGGACAAAGTTCCCCGAAAATCACATTTTTTCCTGGTCTCTGAACCGTAATCATGAAATCACAGAGTGGGTTGGGTTGGAGGGACCTGCAAGATCATCCTGCCATGGGCAGGGACAACTTCTACTGTCCCTGGGTGCTCCAAGCCCTGTCTTGGGACATTCCAGGGATCCAGGGGCAGCCCCAGCTGCTCTGGTAGGACCTCACCACCCCCACATGAAGGAATTTCTTCCTGAATTCTCTTTAAGACACAAACCTCCCTAGGAAATCCCACTTTTGGTGCCTCCATGCCACACCTGGCCACCCACGATTTGGTGATCTGGCAATTCCTGGACTCACCTTTGATGCTGTCACGGACAGGTTTATTTCTCTCCTGTGGACATGATCTCCACCTGCAGCCTGCCAAGATCCCCCTCCATGCCCAAATTCCAGGTTTATTTCTCTCCTGTGGACATGATCTCCACCTGCAGCCTGCCAAGACCCCCCTCCACGCCCAAATTCCAGGTTTTTACCTGACTTCCAGGTGCAGCACCAGCAGGCAGCGGTCAGCCATCTCCTGGAAGGACCTGGCCAGCTCGCTCAGGCTCTGCAGGATCTGCTCGGATGCAGGGAGCTGCTCCAGGCTGGCGTGGCTCTCCTGGCCTGGGGACGTGGCTGCCAAGAGAGAGGAGTTACATTTGGGATGTTCTCCATCCCATCCAGGGCCTCCTGTGTGCTCTGGGTGTCCACCTCTGACTCAGGAGTGGATCAGGGAGCAATGGATTGAACTTCCAGGTGGATCTGAGGGGTTTCATCAACCCTGAGACGTTTTCCTGGGAAGAGATTGCTCTGGGCTGAGAATTCCTGTGGCTGCAGAGTCCAGGAGTGTTTATTTTGCTTTGCTGGGAGGGATGGAGGAGCTGCTTGGGAGCCAAGGCCACCACGGTTGTGAGGGTCCTTTTTGGTCACCACAGTGTCCCTCAGGTGAGTCCCCATCCCTTCAGAGGAGCCTTGCTTTGGTTTTGTTCCTTAACCACAGCTCTTGGGCAGTAAAAAGGAATTAAACACCCTTGAGGTGCTCGTGGATCGTTTCCTTCCACTGAGACCTCCTTGAAAAACCTTCTGTGATTTTATCCCAGCCAGGAGTGCAGGTCTAACTCCACAACTTCATTCCTCAGGGCAGTAAAGAGGAATTAAACCACAGGCAACACCCTTGAGGTGCTCATGGATCATTTCTTCCCACTGAGACCTCCTTGAAAAAGCTCCTGGGGTTTTATCCCAGCCAGGAGTGCAGGTCTAACTCCACAACTTCATTCCTCAGGGCAGTAAAGAGGAATTAAACCACAGGCAACACCCTTGAGGTGCTCATGGGTCATTTCCTTCCACTGAGACCTCCTTGAAAAACCTTCTGGGGTTTTATCCCAGCCACCAGAGCAGCTCCAAATCCTTCACTTCACCCCTGGTATTTTACCCCAGGGCTGAGCCCTGAAGTTCCTCCCTGCAGCCACAAGAGGAACCCTCTGTGATCCCACATCCCACCCTAACCTGAGGAATTGCATCCCAAATATCCCACTTCAAGGCCTCACTCAAGCAGCACTTTGGAGCTGACACCCTGCCAGGGGTGATGATCAGTTTGGAACCAGGCTGCCCTGAAACACTTGAATTAAATAATGGGATTGTGAAGAGATCTCCTGGATCTCCAGGTGCCATCCCCACAATCCCTGTGTCCTGTGGCCTCAAGGAGAGATTCCTGTGCCGTATAAAACATTTTGACTCTTGCTGGCTCCTTCAAAAAGCTTCTGTAACAGGGAAGGTGAAGTTGGGGATTGAATTTCCAGCCTAACCTTATTCACTGATGTTTTGTATTTGCTTCTTTACATGGTAACATTATTTTTTCCCTCATGGAGTTCTCCATCTCTTTGTTGAATCATGGGATCATTTTCTCCAGGCTGAGCCCCTTTCCCAGCTCCCTCAGCTGCTCCAGACCCTTCCCAGATCCAGCACAGGAGGGATCTGTGCATTCCCAAGGCGCTGCTGACAATCAAATTCCATTTGGAGTGAGGCTGATTTAAGGAAATGTGACTTTCGTGCAGCCACAGCCCTGCTCTGGGAGAGGAACCTGGGGTTAAACACTAAAAATAATCGCCCTAAAATTAAACACACCCTCAGATCCAGCCTGAAAAGAGGAAAAAAGCAGGGCTTGGAGCAGCTTGGGATGGTGGGAGCGTCCCTGGCATGGATGGAATGAGGTGATCCTTGAGGTCCCTTCCAACCCAACCCATTCCAGGAATTAACTCCAGGGATTTAACCCCTCTCAGCAACCCCTGAGGTCACAGCAAAATTCATGAAGCAATTTTTTGAACCGAGGAACACCGAGAAATTCCCAGCCTGGCAAATGCTGCTGGAAATGATGAACTGGCCTGGAGTGTGAAAGGGGAATAAGAGGGAAATGAGGGTGACAATCCAGCCTAGATGGGTGGGAATTGATGAGAATTCCCCTTTTTTGAGACTTCTCCCAGCCCCTCTCTGCTCACAGAGCTCTGTCCCACCAAGACAATTAAATTATCAGCGAGGGGGTGAGGGGTTTATCTACAGAACCTCTGATTCCAGATTATCCCAGGACTCTCAGGAGGCACTTGGGGAGAACTCTTTGTCCTCCAAGTGACCCTGGAGGGTGGCAGGACTCCAGCTCAGATCAGGTCTAGGGATAATTACCTGGACACAGGAAAGCAGAAACCCCCACCTGTACCATGCATGAAAAAAACATCATTTTTAAAACCCCAAAATCCTGCATTTGAGAAGTTTTTATCCTCCTGGAGACGCACTTGGGGGTGGGCAGGAATCATCTCTGTTTAGCAGAGCCAGCTCTGCCACCCTGGAAGTGCTGGAGATGGATGGAGCCGTCAGGGAAAAGCAGGAGTCAGCTCCTGGCTGCTGCAGGCAGAGGCACACACCATTTTTCTCCTCTCCACAACTCACTCACAGCACTTTAAGTGAAGCTGTAATTATATTTGTCAGTGGAGATAAGGGGAGGAGGGAGATGGGCACAATCTGCTCCGTGTGTGAAGCACTGAAATCCTTCTGGGCCCCCCTGGCAGGGAGGAGGCTCAGGTGGGTTTGTTTGGTTTTTTTTTCGGGGGGTGAATCTGAATTTCTCCTGTGTGTTTTTGCTTTTGGAGCTCAAAGGAAGCCTTGCAGAGCCCATCAATTTTCCTCTCTCCTCTGGACATCCAGAAGAGGAGATCCCATTCTTTTAAGTCTCGCTCCAGATAGTTTTACTCCATCATCCTTGGCAGCACGAAGCCAACAAATGAGCTGGAGCAGCAAAAAATAATCAGAGCCTAAATTATTAAAGGGCTTTGAGTAGAAAATGCCATTTGGAGATGGCTGTGGGGTTGGGCAGCTCTTTGGGCAAAGGCTGAGCCTTGCTGAGGCTGTGGACTCACCACACTCTGGAAAAGGGAGGGATCTCTGCCTGCTGAAATGCTGGGAAAAGGGGGGAAAAAACCCTGGAATGCTGGAAAACCAGACCAGCCACGCATTTCTTCTTCCCCTTCTCCTCCTTCCTCACCCATTTCCACCAGGCTGAGCATGAGCCCACCACAACACCCCTGGCCAATGCCCTGCTCCACTGGCCCCATCATCCTGGAGCCTTCCCAGACCTGAAGGTGAATTTCCCATGCTGCTGGACAAAAGTGCCGGCTTTGTCTGGGGTTTTCTCCTCCCTGGCTGAAATCACGGCCGAGTTCTCTCCCTCTGAGGAAAAGGAACAAGGAGCATTCCAGCAAAGCTGAGGAAAATAAACTCAGCCCAGGCCTTGTCGCCCAGGATTTCTGCAGGGGCCTCCTGGCAGGCTGGAGATGGATGGATGGATGGATGGATGGATGGATGGATGGGTGGATGGATGGATGGATGCAGATTGCCAGACCTCTGGAATATCAAACAAAACCCCTGGAGCCACTCGGGTGTGAGCAGAGTGACCACTGGCACATCCCAGTCAATCCAAGGAGGAAAACTCTGCACCCTGACCCTGAGGAAGGAACGTCCCAAACGCTCAGGATTTGCACAGCATTCCCTGATTTCCACTCTGGGGGAAAGGAAAGGCTCACAGAGACATTTTACAGCTCTGCTGGGGGGAAATCCCTCCTTTCTGGGAGAGAGATGCAGCAAGAAGCTCCTGCTGAATTTAAGGATCAGCTCGCAGCTCCTTAAATTTGAATTTCTTCCTCCCTTCCTCTCCAGAAGAGGTAACTCCAAAAAAAAAAAAGCCCAAAAAAAACCACAGGGAAAAGGGAATTTCTCACGGGGAAGGTGCTGGATTAAACCTTTAGAGAGTCAGGGTTAACTCTTGTCTCTGCTGGAGACTTTCCTGGGGATCTCAGGCTCCACTTTCCCTTTCAGTGCTTGAGTTCCCAGCAGGTAAAAACGTGGATAATGAGATTTTATCCATCACTGCCACTCCAGCAGTGTCTTCTGTTCCCACAGCTTTCAGCACCACGAGGAGATGATGCCACAAGGACACAAAATCGCCACTGAAACACCTTCAAAAAGGAGAATATCTGGTATTTCAAGGAAAAAGCTTTGGGTGAAGCCAAGCAGAATCAGAGATGTGATTATTTTTAAAGGAGGAAGGTGTCAACATCAGATCCAACATCAAGGACTTATTTCAGTGGGATTTCTGCCAAGAAACCTCTAACTTCCACACCTAAAAAGCATGAAATAATTAATAATTTTTAAATATTTCATTATTTAAATGCCAATTCTGTGTTAAGCCATGGTCTGTCCCTCTGGGGCAGAGTGCTGCTGGTGAGGAAAATTTGTGAGGGGACAGGAATGTCACCAATGCCCCACCAAAAATGGACTCCAAGGTACAGATCAGTCACTCCTTGTCCTAAATTGGTCCTTTTGGGAATTCCAGCTCCCTAGGAAAGGATTGGAATGAGCCATAAAAGCTGGAGCTGGATTTTGATTCTCCCACAGGATTCATTTCAGAGCGATGGGAATTCAGGAAGCAAAGCTGGACTTTGGGGTTGACACCTTCCCTGGGCTTCTTCTCTGAGGTGTGAATATTTGGGCCTCTTAGAAATGAACAAATTCTTCAAATATTTACCCAGATATTGCCTTTTTTAACCTAAATTGTTCTCTTTTTTGGAGTTTAGATCCAGGGAAATAAAACACTCAGAGGAATGATTTCTTCCAAGACTTCCAAGATCATGGAATGGAAGGGAACCGAGAATGTTGGAAGGGAACCAAGAATGTTGGAAGGGAACTTTAAAGACCACCAGTCCAACCTTCAAGGTATGTGGCACCTCACAGCTGGATTTGGGATGTCAGCTGTCTAAACTGTCCAAATTCCCAGCATTTTATTGGGAATTCACCTTTTACACTCAGTAATGGCAAGGACACTCAGTGATGCCAAAGGGACAAAGCTGCACTTGCAGGACAAACAGAGGTGAAGAGGAAACGAGCTCAAGGAGAGCTGCTCATTAATTAATCTCTGAGCAAATTTCTACTAATGAGTTCTGTGGCATTCACATTTTCTGGAAAAATCCCTTTGCCCAGGATTTTTCTCCTGGGAAGCTGAGAAGCCTCAGAGAAAAAGGAAAACAATTCTAATCTCATTTCCTTCTTCTGTGTTTTGCTGGTTTGGAATGTGGTTTGTTTATCCAGCTGGTGATTGTTTTGTTGGTTTCATGTGAATTATTTTGACTTATTGGCCAATCATTGTCAGGCTGTGTCAGGACTCTGAGAG